AAAACCCCAAACACCTGAAATACTCACCGTTGCAATGGGAAAGTTTGGACCCCTCTGTGGCCAACACTCAGGGTCAAGTAGTGCCACCAACTTCTCCTAATGCACACATCCTCCCCAGTCCCTGATCCCTCACTGCTGTCCCCGTTCGCTCCTGGGAATGGCTGGGCTGGCATCCCCCTCACAGCCCCTTTTYCAGCAGTGGGACCTCTCTGCTCGGCTCAAATTGCAGCTGGCTCTGGCAGTGGTGGGCGCAGGACTGCTGTCCTCCCTCAGCGGGCTGAGCTGCTTGCCCGGCACTCGAGGAGCCCAACTCTCGGGGAAGGTCGTGGCTTGAAGTTCGCCGCTGCCAGGAAAGGGGAGACTGAGAATGTCCCCGTGAGCCAAGGCGTTAGCACGACCAGGAGGATTTCCTAGAGGTGCTGAGGGAAGCAGAGCCGGGGGCTGTGCGACTTTCTGGCAGGCGGCCTCACCTTCCCCTCGCAGGCAGAAGGTGCTCCAAGGGGAAAGGGTTCTGTCCCTGCCCTGGGGGCACAGAGGGTTGCAGGCAGCGCCCTTCCACACCTCTGTCCTCTGCTCCCTCCTCATGGTAGATGTTGCGCCGTGATCTCTGCACAGCGTCTTTCCATCGTCCTCCGGAGAGGCGGGCGGTGGTCGAGCCCCGCTCCGGGGCAGCTCCCCGGGCTCCGATGGGAGGGTCTCCACCACCCGAGTCCTCCCTGAACCGGCGTGGGGTGCTTCCCCAGAGGAGTGGGGGCCAGGATACCGAGCCACTGCCTCAACCCGTCTGCTCTCCAGGACCCCTGAACTCCCTACCAAACTCCATGGTCCTGCATCTCTACGCTCTTCCCTGGCTCCTCTCAGGCGAGCCCGCATCGGGGGGCCGCAGCCCCCGGCCCCCCAGCGCCAATCGCCCTTTTCTGCAACTCCTCCCCACCAGAGCATGTCCTCCAGCCCGGCAAAGCCCGTTCCCGCCCCGGGGAGCCCTCAGCCTGGATGACTGCCGCCTCCCCKGGGAGGTGAGGGGAGGTCGCGGCTCGTCCTGCCCGGGGCGCCCATCGGGGTTGGGCTGGGGGCCCGACCCCGAGAACTGCGGGCGGGGGTTCCGCACTCACCTGCGGTGCGGAGCGGAGCGGTGCGGAGCTGCTGCCTTTGTGTGGCGGCCGCGTGCGGAGCCCCGCGCAGCGCACAGCGGCCCCTGACGTCGGGCTCGGCTGGCAGCAAAAAGGTGGGTTTTTAGCCCAAAACTTTCACAAGCTCCTCCTCTGCCCCCGGCAGGCACAAAGGCAGGGCGGCGGAGCCGCGGCCCGGGGACAGGCTGGCCCCTCGGCCGGGGGGGCGGGGGCAGAGCGGGCCGGCGGCGGCCCCCTCGGCCTGGGGGCGTCAGGTCCCGCGGGAGCGGCCCCTGTCCCCTCTCATGTTCCTGCGGTGCTCTCCGAGCCGCACTCGCCGCGCGGTACCAGRGAAGCTGCGCGGATTCAGCTGACCCCGCACCCCAACATCACTGAGTGGCCGAAGGGGTGCACAGCTGAACGGCCGGGCAGAGTCTCCAGCTGCTCTGAGTTCCGCTGGAAGCTGGGCCCGGGGGAATCCCTGGGGCTCGGTGGAGTGAAGGGAACCACCCCATGTCTCCACCAGGTCCGTGGATGGCTCCTTCTCTATCAGGGCCACCGGCATGAATAGRCCGACCTTTCATGTTCACTCTTCTCTCCTAGCTCTGCCAGTCATGGGAAGTTTCCAGGAAAGGCGTACTTGCTCAGCACCCAAAGCAGCACACATTTACATGCTGTCCCAAGAGTCTTCCCAGGTYCATCCCTTGTGACCTGCGTGCATGTCCCCAGCTCAGCCATGCTRCAGCCCTTCTCCCTGGACCAAGCACTGGTATCAAACTGCTGGTGGAAGATGACCTCTCCTAATTATCATGGTTACTGACAGCCCTCCCTGCCGAGATGTGGGCCAAGCACCAACATGCCGGGGTCTGGGCACCAAAGCAGAGTGGGCTCCCTCCTCCCAGTTGTATGTAMACCTGGTCCCTGGGGAGACCGGGACAATTTGGTGTGCCTTACACGTCCTACAGATCCTGTTAGCTCTGAGCAGGAGCTGAAAGGCTGAAGACTGTGAAAGAGAGGCACAGGGAGRGTGGAAGGGAAAATGCAGCCAGGGAACGAGGCTGCTTCTCCAGGCAGAGAGGGGCTGGCAGAAGCACCAAGCAGGCTGCTAAACTGCCCTCAGAAATCTGAATTTAAGGTACGAGTATAGCTCCTCAYCACCCACCAGCTCCATCACCAGCATGCCATCAGCCACTGCGATTACCTCCTTTTTCAAAGGATATTCCATGAGAGGGAAGTGTGTTGGCCGCAGTCATCCTTATGAGTCTGAGGCTGGTAGCAGAAGTGTCCCGAATCCTCTGCTTTTGTTATCAGAGAGCAGTCCTTCCACAAAAGCAGCAGAGATAATCCCTGCCCTCAGTGCTCAGCACTGGAGGCAAAACTCCAAGACTCCCTGCTGGAGCTGGGAGTGAATAGGAAGAGCCCCTGGCAAGCTGAGTTCCCACAGAGCAGCATGGCTGGGTGTCACCACACCAAAAAAGCTCACCACAAAAAAAAGGCCAATAAACATTTTGAAACCAGAGGCTGGATGCTGCTCTAGTACCCACTGACAGCTGTGGCAGCCGCTGGGGCTCCTTCGCCCCAAGGAGGAATAGCAGGCTGCCAGCTCCTGACTCACACTTCCAAGGCCTTCTGGACCACTTAGGATGGCAGTGCACTTTCTCCCTTTCCCACATTACACTGAACACTGATGTATGACACAGAATAGGGGATAAGGTCCCTTGTGACAAAACCTCTACATCTAGCAACACTCCCAGAAGGATGCTGTGCTGGGAAGTGAACAAGGACCCAGGCCAGTAGGAAACTCCCAACAGTACCCCCAAATTTGGATGGGGGCAGAGGCCTCGGGATACAACCTTGTTTGCGCCRTGCGGGGCATCTGTTGTGCAGTGCCTACAGCAACCCTGCGGATGCAGCAGGAGACAGGAACTAAAACATCCATCTCTTTATTTCAATGGCAAGAAACAACAACATCCAAACAAAGTTGAAAAGCAATGGGAACACAGGCTTGTGCCAGGTCCTGGGCCTGCTGGAACCAGCACCCTCACGTAGTTACAAAAATACAATCCTACAACAGCGTCTAAGAAACACATACCCAGGTATTGCACAGAACCCCTGCCCCCAGCGGGCAGGGCAACCAACACCCCCTCCGTCTTCACCAAAATATAAGCAGGCTTGGAATTGCACAGCAACTCAGCTCACATGTGCACGGAGGGGCCAGGCAGGGAGGGGGACAGTGTGTCTCTCAACTACCTGTACAAAAACTCTAAGGGAGTAAGGGGGAAGCTAAGGCTCTAAATGCCTCTGGGCCAAGTTGGGCATCCTGTCTGGGGCAGCAGTGGTGTGGACCTCTGAGAAGATGACATTGCCTTGTCTGTCAGCGGCCTGCTAGCAGTGCTGACGAGAACTCCAGGCAGGGCTGAAGTGTCCCAGCTCTCGATATAGTAGGATGATATCATTATGAAATACTGCTGCTGGCCTCTGGGCACCCTGCACTGCCCTGCAGCTCTGTTCCCCAATACAGCATCCCCCATCCTGCAAGGGAACCCTGCCCCGGGCCAAAAAATCTGAAGGGTATTCTGGTTTCCTATGGTATCCTCATACCCTTTTCTTGGTTTGGTAATAGGAGGGATTCAAATGGGATCACCCAGCACTACCCAGTGGGCACAGCTGGGTTTGCACAGACCACACAGAGTGCAGCATCCTCTCCCAGAAGCCAAGATGCAAACAGCAACCCCGTTCATGAACCACTTCCCAGAAGTGGCAAGAAGGTCTGCCAGGCCCAGAGCCATCAGCTTTACTCCTCTGTGGGCAKCTCCTGGTCTCAGAGACTGTCAGTTCTGCAAAAGCCTTGCTGAAGGGCTGGCTTGATGTCTCTGCATCAAGTGCTCAYAGTATCCATAGGTGAGATGGGTTGTGGTGCCTCATGCCCCATGGCAGGTGGTAGGTGAAATTCCATCCCACTGCAGGCAAGACTCAGGGCTAGGAGCCCTGACAGTTCCTGTGAATCCAAATCCCTCTTTCTGCTAAAACTGGAGAAGGTGAGCTGGTGGTCTGCCCAGGTGGATTGTGSCTCAGCTGGGTGAGCTCCCAAGTTTCCCCTGCAAAGCCCTGTGCCCATTTTAGGGAATGGCAGGAGTCAGACTCWGAGGATGCATGTTGCCAGGTTGGGGGGCATGAGGGGATCCCTGAGAGCAGTACTGACCCCAGCACTGACCCTCTGGCCCCATGCAATGTCTTGCATTAAGGGGGAAGCTGAAGCAGGGAGGGCACTGAATCCAGTCAGCATTTGGGAAATACAATGGGCTTCAACACTGCCACAGCCCCAGTAGAGTGCAGCTCTCCAGCATCCTGCAGTGGGCTCACGAAAAGATGCCCAGCACACACTGGCTGTTCAAACTGTCCAACCTAGCCCCATGGAGGGAAATGTGGTGGGAGGGCTTGGTAGCCTTCCTCCATGCCAACCTTGCCCTGAGTCAGACTGCTGACTGAGCACTGAAGGCCATCAGGAGAGCTCCTGCTGTCCTACTTCCAGCTGCACCAGTTCCAGACGCTCCAAGGAAAGGCTAGGTGCACAAGCAACTTCCCATCTGCTGCAGAAGGCTCTGGGTAAGGCAACACAGAGACCTGGTGCAGCCCCAGGAGGGAGGAGAAGGTAGGGCAGGAAGTTGTGGTGAGTYCCTTGGGGCAAAGTCTGAGGCTCACAGCCTCTGCTGTCTGTCCACACAACCTGTGCCTCCCACAACTGTGCCACACAGGAGAGGAAGAAAAGGACACAAACCTAGCCAAGCATCTAAAGAGGGGCATTGCCACCAGAGAGAGGCTGAGCAATGATCATGGGCAGGAGCCTGTTGAGGGGGCACTGGCATTACTCCCGTGAACAAGGGTGATCAGGACCTTCAGCCTGGCCTGCCCCAACAAGGCTGGGAGATAGAGCCCATCTAGGGCAGGGAATGTGGTGAATGAGAGATGAAAGGGTGGACACAAAGAATCAGGCTTCAAGTCTGAAATACCCATTGTCCTCATATACAGAGTCCCAGCCCAGCCTGGGGCAGAGCTCTGCTGTATCCATCTCCAGGGACCAGGATACATCTGGGGAGGGTTGGGCCATAGTTGGCATTGTCCTCTTCTCATCCTTCATGAGCTGGCTTGGGCTAAGGCACGCCAAGCACTACACAGCTGTCTCCTGGTCCTCCCGCTGGATCATCTGGTAGTGCTGTCGGTTCTCGAGGTAGGCAGCTAAGTCAGGGTCATTGGCTTTCTCAGCACGGTGCTTCGGGGTGTCTCCCTGCACAGGAGAGGCAAGAAATCAAGAGTGCCAAACACTGCCTAAACACTGCCTCGGAACCCAAAGGCATCCCCACTCCCCCATGCAGCTGGATCCAGCACAGCCTGCAGCCAAACCCTGAGGCAGGCAGCAGCCAAATGCCCATGTGCTCACCCTGGGATCAAAGTTCTCCTGAGGAACCTGCCTACTGCAGGCCTAGAAGCTGTCCCCTGAGGGACCATCAGCTCCAGGCATGGGCTAGGACAGTCACTGACCCTGGGCATCACAAGTCACCCAAGGGGAGACAAAGGCTGGTCCCCATGACCTGCTCTTCCCCTATGCTAGGGATGCAGGCGGGAAAGGGTGAGGAATGAGGGGTATGTCTGGGGAATGCCCGGGAATACCAACCCCCCTTCCCTCTCACAGCCTGGCTAGTGCTCCTGCTCCCGGAGGAGGATCACATTTCMCCAGCTTATTGCAGCCATCTGGATTGTGTCCACTAATGAACTCCYGCACTCCATAAAAAGCAAATCTGTTAACAGCTCCCAGCTCTGTCTCCTCTCTCCCTTCCCTCCCCCTGCTCCTTGCTCCTCCTCACCAAGTGCCCAGGCTCTACTATGCCACTGAGAAAGGCCACAGAAACCTGGCGCTCTGCCGCTGCSATTGAAAACCAGCCCTAGAAGGGATACCCGTCCTGCTGACTTGTCCCCTGGTGCACAGCAGGGCAYGGGTGGCTGCAGCAGCGTGCTGAGGCCTCCAGAGCAGACTGCAGCCGTATTTCTCCTGAGGAACAATGGTCACATATGCAGAGCCCTCCTCTGGGCCTGAATGGGGCTGTGTACAAAAGCCCA